CTACAGGAGGTTAGTCACGGCTCGGATAGCTCAGTGGTAACGTCTCTGACTGTGAAGCTGGGTGACACGAGATCGAATCCGCCAGGGAGCACCAGTTCCCTCAAGATTACAGGTACACCTTGCTGACGAGTGCCAAGTAGCACGAAACTCGGGTCCAGGGTTTCCTGTTGACTACCTCCAACCACCATCTAATCTCCCTACATAGTGCCCGCAGTGTCGAGTCACCTAGACTGGTGGCCACATTGCAACATGATCGATAGCATTCGATCTGCACTAATAAGGACTAGACAAGCATGAGATTGATCACCACCCAGTGATCAATCAATTGTGATTACATCTCAGTCCTACAGGAGGTTAGTCACGGCTCGGATAGCTCAGTGGTAACGTCTCTGACTGTGAAGCTGGGTGACACGAGATCGAATCCGCCAGGGAGCACCAGTTCCCTCAAGATTACAGGTACACCTTGCTGACGAGTGCCAAGTAGCACGAAACTCGGGTCCAGGGTTTCCTGTTGACTACCTCCAACCACCATCTAATCTCCCTACATAGTGCCCGCAGTGTCGAGTCACCTAGACTGGTGGCCACATTGCAACATGATCGATAGCATTCGATCTGCACTAATAAGGACTAGACAAGCATGAGATTGATCACCACCCAGTGATCAATCAATTGTGATTACATCTCAGTCCTACAGGAGGTTAGTCACGGCTCGGATAGCTCAGTGGTAACGTCTCTGACTGTGAAGCTGGGTGACACGAGATCGAATCCGCCAGGGAGCACCAGTTCCCTCAAGATTACAGGTACACCTTGCTGACGAGTGCCAAGTAGCACGAAACTCGGGTCCAGGGTTTCCTGTTGACTACCTCCAACCACCATCTAATCTCCCTACATAGTGCCCGCAGTGTCGAGTCACCTAGACTGGTGGCCACATTGCAACATGATCGATAGCATTCGATCTGCACTAATAAGGACTAGACAAGCATGAGATTGATCACCACCCAGTGATCAATCAATTGTGATTACATCTCAGTCCTACAGGAGGTTAGTCACGGCTCGGATAGCTCAGTGGTAACGTCTCTGACTGTGAAGCTGGGTGACACGAGATCGAATCCGCCAGGGAGCACCAGTTCCCTCAAGATTACAGGTACACCTTGCTGACGAGTGCCAAGTAGCACGAAACTCGGGTCCAGGGTTTCCTGTTGACTACCTCCAACCACCATCTAATCTCCCTACATAGTGCCCGCAGTGTCGAGTCACCTAGACTGGTGGCCACATTGCAACATGATCGATAGCATTCGATCTGCACTAATAAGGACTAGACAAGCATGAGATTGATCACCACCCAGTGATCAATCAATTGTGATTACATCTCAGTCCTACAGGAGGTTAGTCACGGCTCGGATAGCTCAGTGGTAACGTCTCTGACTGTGAAGCTGGGTGACACGAGATCGAATCCGCCAGGGAGCACCAGTTCCCTCAAGATTACAGGTACACCTTGCTGACGAGTGCCAAGTAGCACGAAACTCGGGTCCAGGGTTTCCTGTTGACTACCTCCAACCACCATCTAATCTCCCTACATAGTGCCCGCAGTGTCGAGTCACCTAGACTGGTGGCCACATTGCAACATGATCGATAGCATTCGATCTGCACTAATAAGGACTAGACAAGCATGATATTGATCACCACCCAGTGATCAATCAATTGTGAACTTTCATCGTTCTTGTGAACGACATCATCAGTACAAACTTTAGATAGAAGTGAAGTGTTCGAATTCCTCCATATGTGTTTCATAGCTTGTTCTGTGCACCTCGATGTTGATTGGTTCTTGCTGACCTTAAATTTATCATTGTTTACTTCTTTGTTTTGGTTGTGTCTCCCATTGTTTTGATTTTTGTTCCTATATTTATGCATGGTTTTCCTGATTGGTTGATAAATTGGATTGATCTCAATATGTTTGTTGATTGCTGATTGACCTGAGTGCCAAGCTTCTAAAAATTCTCTGGTGTTTTTGGAGTTTCCTCTGTCTAAGATTTCTACATTTTCCCAATCGAATGAATGTCCGTAGTTATCCACGTGTATTGATATAAGTGAAGAGATATCATGGCGTTTGACTGCTAATTGATGTTCATGTAGGCGTAGGTGGAGGGGGCGTCCGCTTTGTCCGATGTAGTGTTTGTCGCAGTTGGTACAATTTATTTTGTAGATGATGTTTGATTTGTTTTCCTTTGTTATTTCATCTTTTGGTTTGCATAGGATTGATTGTAATGATTTTGTTGGTTTGTGTGCCACACCTATCCCGAAGGTTTTCAGCAGTCTCGTTGTGGTTTCTGATATTCCTTGTATGTACGGTAGGGTGATCCTTTTGTTGATTTTTGTGCTTGATTTGGGTTCTGATGCTGTGTGCCGTTGGTGCTTTTTGATGAAGTTGATTGGGTAGCCGTTCTTTTGAAATATGTCCTTCAGGTATTTCTCTTCATTTTTTCGTGCTGCCAGTGTGTTGCAGTGTGTCCTCGCCCTCTTGAACAATGTGTGTACGTAGTTGATTTTGTGAGCTCTTGGGTTGTTGCTGTTGTAATTGAGGATTTGATCTGTATGGGTCGGTTTCCTATACACTTGAGTTTCCAGTTTTCCTGTATCGGTTCTAGTGATCAATATATCCAAGAATGCTATTTGGTTGTTTGACTCCTGTTCCATTGTAAACTTGATGTCGTTGAAAACGTTGTTGATCAGTTTGTATGTGTTTTCCAGTTCATCCTTTTTGACGATGACAAAGGTGTCGTCTACGTAGCGAATCCAAATTTTTGGCTTGATCACTGGTAATATCGTGGCTTCTAGTCTTTGCATCACTGCTTCTGTGATCAGTCCTGATATTGGTGATCCCATTGGTGTCCCTTTTGTTTGTTCGTAGATTTTGTTGTTGAATTGAAAATATGTTGTTAGGCATAAATCGATGAGTTCCAGTATACTTTTAATTTGAAGCGTCGTGTATTTGGTGAGGTTTGTGTCGTTGTTGAGTAGCAGGGATATAGTTTCTTTTGCTAGCTGTGGTTCAATTGAGGTGAACAGTGCTGTTACGTCGAAGGATATCATGAGTTCGTCGTTGTTGATTTGAATATCCTTAATTTGGTCCAGGAATTGTGTTGGGGATTTGATGGAGTGTTTGGCTGAATCTACTAGATGTCTCAGTATTCGTGAAATTTCTTTTGACAAATTGTATGTTGGCGTTCCGGGGAGTGCTACTATTGGACATAGTGGGATGTTTGGTTTGTGTATTTTGGGTCTACCGTAGAATCGAGGGAGTACTGGTCCACTGGATTTCATTCTCCATTGGTCTTGTTTTGTTATTTCTCCTGCTTTGACTAGCTTGTTTAAAGTCTTTGAGATTTGATTGTCTATTTTTTTGACGGGATTTGTGTCCATCAGTTTGTATGTGCTCTTATCTTCGAGTAGTTCTTCGGCTTTGTTGATGTATTCTTCTTTGTCCATGATTACTGTGGTGCGTCCCTTGTCCGCTGGTATTATGATAATATCTTTTCTATTTCTGAGTTCTTTCAATGCCTTTTGTTCTTGTGGAGTCAGTTGGTTGTTTTCTTTCACCTGTTGAGTTATCGGTACTATAGTTTGCCTTATTTCCTGTTGTGTTTCTTCACTGATTCCGGAAGTTTTGAGTGATGACTCTAGTGCTGCGAAGAACTGTAGCTTTGAGGCGTCGCTTGTATTGTAATTTAATCCTTTTTGGAGCAGGTGTTCTTCCGTATTTGTTAGTGGTTGTTTTGACAGATTGATCACACAGTTGTTTGTGTTTTCTTCCATGGGTGGTTTTGAGATCTTGATTAGTTTTTTCTTTAAGGTGTTTCTTCTTTGTTCTCTATGTCGTTTGCATGATATCTCGATGGCTGTTGTCACGATTTCCAAATGTTCTGATGTGAGCATTCTTTGTAGCTTTATCTTTTGGTCTTCTATGACGTGTTGGTATTTGCAGATCCTGTAGTGTGCATCCGTTATCATTAGGTGTACCATTTTTCTTCCACTTTGCTCGGCAATTCTCCATCCTAATGGGCAGTTGATTGGAGGTCTATATCTTACACTTGTTGGTAGAACATACTGGCGAAGACACTCATGGAGAAAATATAGTTGTTCTCGAGTGGAAGCCTGCCTTTTGGCGAAATTCTCCCATTTTCGAACAACGAGAAGCGTATTACGCTCATATGATTTTGAGATGGTGGAGAAGATTTGTAGCTCAGGTGGATGATTTTGGTGGTGTTTTGTTCTCTGAGCTGGATGGTCATAATCCTTTTGCCTTCAGATCGTAAGTTGAATTATCAATGAGTTCCTTCTTCAAAAGTTCTTTAAGATGCTTATTGACTCTGTTTTCTATTGTTGCAATGGTGTCTTTCTTAGATTTGTCGATATGTAATCTTGATGTATAGTTGACAATTTGAAACATTTTTTACATATAATCTTTTCGATTCATTATTACGACACAGGAACATTTATCTGGTCTTATTATAGTGTTATTATTCTTTTGCAAATTCTTCAGTACCAATCGTCTCAAAAATGCATTTCAGTTTTCCATATTTTTTATTGGTAATTCTTTAATAAGGTAAGTTATCTTCACACTTTAGAAGCTTTTTGGTTCTGAACAGTAGAATGTACAATGTTGAAGATACATTTATTTTTGGCTAAAAATACGAATATTACAATTAGGCATTTTATACTGAAGTTTGATCCTGAGTAGAACGATTGTTACTTTATTACATTTTAGCCATTTATAAAAAAGGGTTTGATCACATTCTATACAATTACTTCGAATATAAGTGACAATACGAATTTGGGCCTGGAAATGCTTTCTTCTAAGGGATTACTTTCATTAATCAGTAAAATATAGAACGTTTGACAGACACTGTCCAATTATGTGGAGTTCAAAGCCCTTTGTACAAGGTGCATAATACTATAGTCTTCACTATTATGGTTAATTTTGTTTCAGTTTGGTGATCAATATGAATACGACTCATTTAATGACCATTGACAAGTCAAACTACTGATTAACAAACTCATTGTAACTCTTTGATGAATTCCCTTCCCATTCATTGTTATCATCTCAATTAGAACTTGATGAAATAACGAATAAATTGATTCTTTCAAATGATCGTTAACCTGTCCTGTATCGAATGTTTGGATCTTGATAACTATAATTTAGGGTTAATAACTTTACGACCAAGTTTTTCGGAATCTGAATTAAATTTTATGGCATAGCCTCCGCTGTACCAAATGAATTATTAGTGTTGGTTTTATTTGTTTCGTTCACTTTCTAAAAGACTCAATATTGTGGCTGTATTGTATACGATAGTTACTTCAGCCGCAACTGAAATTAAGATAAAACCGGATTATCTATGAATCATTAGTTTTGTTTTATCAACGAATTATCATGAAAACTCCTTAAACATCAGTTTCAAATAAATCGTGAACTTCAAACTAGAAAATTGACAATTCATATGATTTATAGAAATTGTTAGCGATTCCACAAATTATTATCGTACGTATGTTACAATGTTAGAATTACTTTGAATCTGATTATACTTGAATCGATAATGTGAGCCGAGATCTGAGATAACTGTGAAAGTGTAACACACAATATAGCTAGGTTAATTAGTTTTTTAGTTTATAGTGAAATCATCAGATTCTACACACTTTACTGAAAGGCTTCACTTAATCTCAAGATTACTCACTTAGTTTGTCTGCCATAGGTAATATATGACTGATTGAATATAAATATAACTTGTGCCATTTGCTCTGATTAGTAGTATAATACATCTAAAGGGTTAAGTAAATTTGCGTCTTACGCTTAATCATTGAGTTACCGCACTGATTATCACTGAGTTATCTTTCTGTTCAGTTTACAGGAATTTCATAGAACTCATGTTTTGAAATCAGTCAGTATTAGCTTTGGAGAGGATATTTGAAATCTATCTATTGAAATATCTGTTGGTTTGGTTTTGTTATCACAAACTGTTTTGCTCTTTTTTTTCAACACATCATTATTTTCGGTATCCGAAAATTGTCCCTTAAAAGATATTTTCTTTTATATTTTGTTTTATTGTTCTGTCGTATCAATTTCAATTTTCTGTATGTATCTACTATCACTAGTACTATTACTATTACTAGAACTACTACTACTACTACTACTACTACTACTACTACTACTACTACTACTACTACTACTACTACTACTACTACTACTACTACTACTACTACTACTACTACTACTACTACTACTACTACTACTACTACTACTACTACTACTACTACTACTACTACTACTACTACTACTACTACTACTACTACTACTACTACTACTACTACTACTACTACTACTACTACTACTACTACTACTACTACTACTACTACTACTACTACTACTACTACTACTACTACTACTACTACTACTACTACTACTACTACTACTACTACTACTACTACTACTACTACTACTACTACTACTACTACTACTACTACTACTACTACTACTACTACTACTACTACTACTACTACTACTACTACTACTACTACTACTACTACTACTACTACTACTACTACTACTACTACTACTACTACTACTACTACTACTACTACTACTACTACTACTACTACTACTACTACTACTACTACTACTACTACTACTACTACTACTACTACTACTACTACTACTACTACTACTACTACTACTACTACTACTACTACTACTACTACTACTACTACTACTACTACTACTACTACTACTACTACTACTACTACTACTACTACTACTACTACTACTACTACTACTACTACTACTACTACTACTACTACTACTACTACTACTACTACTACTACTACTACTACTACTACTACTACTACTACTACTACTACTACTACTACTACTACTACTACTACTACTACTACTACTACTACTACTACTACTACTACTACTACTACTACTACTACTACTACTACTACTACTACTACTACTACTACTACTACTACTACTACTACTACTACTACTACTACTACTACTACTACTACTACTACTACTACTACTACTACTACTACTACTACTACTACTACTACTACTACTACTACTACTACTACTACTACTACTACTACTACTACTACTACTACTACTACTACTACTACTACTACTACTACTACTACTACTACTACTACTACTACTACTACTACTACTACTACTACTACTACTACTACTACTACTACTACTACTACTACTACTACTACTACTACTACTACTACTACTACTACTACTACTACTACTACTACTACTACTACTACTACTACTACTACTACTACTACTACTACTACTACTACTACTACTACTACTACTACTACTACTACTACTACTACTACTACTACTACTACTACTACTACTACTACTACTACTACTACTACTACTACTACTACTACTACTACTACTACTACTACTACTACTACTACTACTACTACTACTACTACTACTACTACTACTACTACTACTACTACTACTACTACTACTACTACTACTACTACTACTACTACTACTACTACTACTACTACTACTACTACTACTACTACTACTACTACTACTACTACTACTACTACTACTACTACTACTACTACTACTACTACTACTACTACTACTACTACTACTACTACTACTACTACTACTACTACTACTACTACTACTACTACTACTACTACTACTACTACTACTACTACTACTACTACTACTACTACTACTACTACTACTACTACTACTACTACTACTACTACTACTACTACTACTACTACTACTACTACTACTACTACTACTACTACTACTACTACTACTACTACTACTACTACTACTACTACTACTACTACTACTACTACTACTACTATACTACTACTACTACTACTACTACTACTACTACTACTACTACTACTACTACTACTACTACTACTACTACTACTACTACTACTACTACTACTACTACTACTACTACTACTACTACTACTACTACTACTACTACTACTACTACTACTACTACTACTACTACTACTACTACTACTACTACTACTACTACTACTACTACTACTACTACTACTACTACTACTACTACTACTACTATACTACTACTACTACTACTACTACTACTACTACTACTACTACTACTACTACTACTACTACTACTACTACTACTACTACTACTACTACTACTACTACTACTACTACTACTACTACTACTACTACTACTACTACTACACTACTACTACTACTACTACTACTACTACTACTACTACTACTACTACTACTACTACTACTACTACTACTACTACTACTACTACTACTACTACTACTATACTACTACTACTACTACTACTACTACTACTACTACTACTACTACTACTACTACTACTACTACTACTACTACTACTACTACTACTACTACTACTACTACTACTACTACTACTACTACTACTACTACTACTACTACTACTACTACTACTACTACTACTACTACTACTACTACTACTACTACTACTACTACTATACTACTACTACTACTACTACTACTACTACTACTACTACTACTACTACTACTACTACTACTACTACTACTACTACTACTACACTATACTACTACTACTACTACTATACTACTACTACTACTACTACTACTACTACTACTACTACTACTACTACTACTACTACTACTACTACTACTACTACTACTACTACTACTACTACTACTACTACTACTACTACTACTACTACTCAGTAGTGACCTGCCTATTTCCCCTAACATCATTCGATTTGTGTATTAGGCTGAAATATGTATCGATCAATCTATTGATCCGACCTCATATACAGGTTATCATCTACAATTTGATTAAATTAAGAATCTTTCATGCTTTGGATAAATAGATAACTTAAGAGATCAATAGATAAATAGATGGATAGACAGACATAATTGAAAGTAATAATGTTACGACAAACATCAAATCTATATATAAAATAAATTTTAGCATCAGTAAACTATTCTGAGGATGAAGGATATACAGATGAAACTCTGTGCCAATAGGTAACCTTAAGGTGATAATGCTACATAGATTATGATTACCATTAAAAATGAGTCATATAGATATATATAATATTCACGTAACTCAAATTGTTTCTATACATGTACATATATATTCGAACCGTATCTACTACACCTACTAGACGATGTTAGTATGTAATTGTTTTAGTGTTAAGTGTGATAAATAAATGTTCATGTTTTAACGTGCTTGATTCTTCACATTGAAGTAGTCAGTTTATAAGGATTTGTTCTATTCATTCAACAAAATAAGAAGCAAAAAAGAAAATATTTACTGAGAATAAAATTATATTATATTATGATATAAGTGATTGATATCAGTTGGAGTACTATTAAAAACCAGAATGTTCTGAACATCTATTTCATTCGACTACGAGGCTATTTAGTAGTGTTCATTAACAAGAGTATCAAAGAATCAAGTAAGCATTAATAAGTTTAAATCAAATGGTTCATATTTTCAATTTCAATAAAATTACATTCTACTATGATGATTATCCATAAGTAGTCACTGTCTGAATTCTAACATGTCTAGTGTAAGCTTTTGACAAGATTTGAAAGTATCGTTCCGAATAAAGAAAATTCAGCACCAAGTTTATGGATTTAAAAGTTTATGATTTCCATCAAACTGGAGTTAAAGTCATTAGTGAGGGTTTGCAGTTTACCGTTGTTGATATTAGAAACTATAGTTGATTAATTCGCGCTTTCATTTTAGACTGTCTCGATATAATGTTATTTCATGTATTCTTAGCATATTTATACCCATTGAACAAGTCATTAGTTATCTGGACTCATAAATTCAGTGAATAACAGATTGGGAATTAAGATAAAAGATATTGCCTTTGGGTCCCAAAATGAACTTTAACACAGGAGTTCCGATATATCCTGCTGACATGTCCTACGTAGAACAAAACCAGCGTTCTGGATTGCACTACTTTTGAGTTATTCTTTTCTCCATCTCTAACTCACAAACAATACTTTTTCGCAATGTTAAACAATCAGTTTCTTTATTTGTAATGGTAAAATCTAGCCCGATATATATATATATATATATATATATATATATATATATATATATATTTGGAGGTAGTCGGTGGGAAACTCTGAACTCACATTTCATGTTACTTGATGCCTCCTGTGGGGTCGAGACCTGATTCACCCAGTTTCACTGACTGTGATGCTACTACCGAGCTATTCGGGTGATGAATGGTCTTCTGTAGGGCTGAAATATTTGTAACCAATATGATGTCTGTCTATCCTATTACTTATTAATCGATTTCTATCGACCAGACTGTAATATGGTCACTAGTCTAAGTATCACAACACTCTGAATAGTATGTTAAAATGCTAGGTGGTCGGAGGTAACATTGTATCTTTTCTGTACCAAAGGCAAAGCATTAATGTTTCACCAGGCATCTATTCATTAATGATTTTTTGGAAGAGATTTATACTTAATATCACGCAACTGATTATTAATTTATGTGAGTATTTATTTATTTTTTTGACTGAATAAAGTAAATTGTTATGTAATACACCAATTTAGTTGATTCTATTAGTTTGTTTCATTGGCACTGACCAATTTACAATTTATTCATAATAACTAAGTAATTTTTTATTTAATGTAAAAATGAGGTCAACCAACATGAATAAGCACTAAGTAGGTATCATTCATCGACCGATTTTTAGTGGATTTTGTTACTGTACATCGAATTATTTTGTTACTCATCAGATTTTAGTGACAATAAACAAAAAAAAATTTGCAAGTGTTTTTGTTGTTAACTTTATGAACTACAACTGATTAGTCTCTTTATAGCATTTGTATATCCTGTACAGATTGTCTCGATATTGTTATTTAATCATAAGTTTGAATAAAAATAGAAATAATATCTAGTGATGGAATCTTGGATGCAATATCGTGACGGTCTGTACAAGAGTTTATAATATTAATAACAGAAACGTAAAAAAATTGAATACAGAAATACATACATACACAAGCTCTTTGCTAACACTAGGCGACCCAGTGGATAATGCTATGGGCATTTGAAGCGGGTTTAAATCTCAGTAAGTATCAGCAATGGGATGAAAGTATATCCAGCTGATGAGTCCAAAATGAGACCAAAAACGCATCCACTGTTAATCTTTATTTCAACTGACATGTTTACATGAATTGATCGATTACTCTATGATGTTTGTGGAGATTGTTAGATTTTACATTACGGACTAATGTTAGTTATACATCCATTGAAAACCAAGAATCACTGTAGAGTTGTTTCGTTCTAGTACGGGACCACTTAGCAGTGGGTATTTGCGACTTCACCGGAGATCGAAATCATGACACACAGATCTCTCAGTAATCACTTAACTATTTAAACTACTGAGATGAAATTCAATGGTTCATATTCTTATCTACAATCGATTCGCGATATTACGCAATTATGTTCCATTGGTGGGACCAGTTATAAACAGTTATATCAGTTCTAAGACATATTTTCCCACGAACCAATGTTTAATCTTCATGTAAATCGTTTCAGAAGTGAACACACGTTACCTCAAATACATTCAACCAAATTTATCATATCGAATCTTCCACCGTATCAGAATCAGTTCGTTCATGCTTTTAGTGTTGATTAATTGACGATCTAGCAAAATCCTTAATCCATTATTTATTACTATTTCTATTAGAAATGAGTTAATAAATCATAGGTTGATATAGTTTAAACATGTTAAATAATTACATTGTTCACATAAAAATAATGAAAATTATTTTAATACCTTCACAGGTTTCCTGAATTATTCTTGTATTTCGATTTTTAATGTTGAAGTATGTTGCTAATAAAGATGACGCAGATTTTTACGAATCTCTACATTATAATTATAACCAACAGAGTGCTAAAGTAAAAATTCTTATATCATTATTAGACTGGATTTGAACTACATCCTTCGTTGATGTTTTTAACTGAATTTCGACTAGATTTGGTTGGGATATGTGTATACTGTTCAGATTACCTCGATATAACCAAACGGACGTATATATATACTCAGTACCTGGTTGGATAATGCTTTGGCATTTGAAGCAATACGTACTGGATTCGTGTCCCGGACTGAGCATTAACACGAATATGGATCCATCCAACGGATGTCTTAAATACGACGAAACTCACGTGCTGGATTCTACTGCTAGCTACATTTCATCGAATCTATAAATACGTTTTTGGTTCAAATGGTGTTTTTTTTGACTTCTTATGTTAATAATTAAATTGAATCAACCTATGTTAATAAATAACTAACATGTTAAATCATTTAGAATATTTTTAATGAACATTACCCCTAATCTTCCTACATGTATAAATATACATACATAAACTTAATTCCTCTAGACAGTATTACAAGAAAAGTAATGAAGTGTTTTCACTAACAAACTTATTTGTTTCCAACTTTTCATTAGGATATTTATAGTGTACAGGTTGAAATTTAACTTATCGAACATTGAAAGAGTAGACATAGAAATTGTTTATTGGACATCTTACTACTTTTTCATAACAACCAGAATGTTACGCAATGTTAAACGACCAAAAAATGTTCCATACACATCAACTTAATGATGATTGCAAATAAGAAATAAACAAGATAGTTGTTTCGACGTAGTTTGAAAATACATACAAAAAACAGAACCAAGGACAATCAAGTTTAACATCCAGTACGATGATTTGAAGTCATGATATGTAGATTTAAGTTTCAATTTCCGTTAAATTGAGATGGAAATTGATTTATATCCAAATAGCCAATCTCAGATTTGGCTGATACTATGTGCCATGAAATCCTACAAGAATTTCAGAAAAAATATATTTAAGCCATAAGGAAAAGTTCATGTTTAGCTTGAGTTTTGTTTAATATGAAGGTCGGTATTTTTCTTATCAAGGATCCGTTTGAAATTCCGATAGCAATGGATATTTATTTCATCTGAATTTATGGAATTTCTTTTACCAATAAATTTCAAGGGAGATAAATATCAATGAATTAAGGATGTGTTTTTCATACTTGTTACTGAAACATGGTGTTCCCCCGTAGTTCCTTATTCAGAATTAAAGATCCAGTGATGGAGTAGACGGGATTACATTCATTTTTCCAAATATGGTGATCATGATATTCCACTACTTCTAAAACTGTTTACTCTCAATGTCTCTTTTGTAACAGAAACTTACCTTCACTGTTGGAAAATCATATGCATCGTAGCTCGTTACAAATCTGGAGGTAAAACCAAATGTGTTTTAATGTACAAATTATCTTCCCAAACACTCCTAGAATACTATAATTTTATTCTTAATAGTGTTCGCATGAAGGATAATTTAAGGCTTCAATCGGTTAAGAAATGACTTCACTGCATCGTTGGGACTAATTGTACCTTAAATAATAAGTCATGGTGTAATAAACTTGAGTTCTAACATGTGTGGGAGAGCAGACTTAAATCAAATTGAATTAAAATACTTGACTTAATAATTCTTAGATCCACAGATGCAGTTCAGTACACAGAAACTCCTAGTTATAGCATCCGGAACTCTTTGTCATTAGCGAAACGATCTCATTTTAAATCTTCTCTCTGTGTGGATTAATTTAGCAGTGAATTTTCGCAACTCTGGAATAATTTACCACAATCTGTCCCTGAAAGAAAAACGCTTCCATTATTTTTTCTTTATATTGATGCTTACTTCGCCCGTGAAAATGATTTAAATGTGCTTAGACCTCTGTGTATATCCCATGACACAAGTGAGATTATAGGAACATAAAATGTTTAGTCGATAT